TTAATGTCTCATTTTAGGTACTGTCCAGGCTGCAAAGAGCACCGTCAAGCGAGTAAAAAGTTGGATCTTTGGAGACTGCCTGAGATTTTGGTTATTCATTTAAAAAGATTCTCGTATAATCGATTCTTGAAAAACAAGCTGGAGACATTTGTTGACTTCCCCATTGAGGATCTTGATTTGTTCAATTATATCGGCCCTAGGAATGACGAGTTATTGAATCGTTACATGCTTTATGCTGTTAGTAACCACTATGGAAGCATGGGAGGTGGTCATTATACTGCATTTGTCCATGTAAGTGATGACCTAACCATGATTTAGTTTTTGTTTCCATAGAAAAACTAACAACACGGGTTTTTATTGACCTTCTAAATTAAAAAGAATAATCTTGTTTTATCACAATTGCATGGTGGCACAGCTAGAAGAACTCTAAATTTTGTTTTTCTTATGTAGCGTGGGGGTGGACAATGGTACGAGTTCGATGATAGCCATGTTTATCCCATCGGCCCGGAGAAGATAAAGACATCCGCTGCTTATCTTCTTTTCTACAGAAGAGTCGTAGACTGAAAACATCTGGGCCATTGTTTACAGATGAAACCTTTTAAAGCAAGAATTCTTCATCGGTGGATATATCGAATTCTCAAAAGAGTAAGGATTCTTGTTTCATCTTCGGCTTAAGTTGATAGTTTTTAGTATTACAAAGGAAGGGGAGAATTATAAGTTGATGCCATTGATGACTGTACCATAGTAGCAAGCAAGGAATGAGAGGTGAGAGTGCTTGAAGAAGGGGAAGGGGAATTTTTGTTTCTTCTTTTATACCTATAATCATTTGTGAAATGAAGAGTTTATCCTTATTATTTTTATTTTTTAACCCATGAAAGTGGAGCTTTTGTTAATTGTTATTAATGTACAATGATTGATTGATAGCTTGAAGAAGGGGAAGGGAAAAGCCTTGAATTTTGATGTCATTCGAATCTCTTTTTTTTAATAGTCTGGGTTAATTATAATATAGTATCTATTTAGAATTTTTCATAGTCTATTGACAATGCATATATCATGCAGACACAGTTGTTTGAACCCGATCCTCTAAAGAGAATCTTAAATTTGTTCGATGTTTACGTAAATTGTTCGGGTTAAACTCGAGTTTTAGATGTAAAGGTGGACCATTTCCATAGTTGTGTAAGATGTGACTAGACTTCCTTGATAGTTGTAGTACCATGGTACCCATGGCACTAGATGTCCAGGACCACTATCCCTTGTGAAGCCAGGTCAGGTCCCTATCCCTGCCCTTGTGGTTCTCATTTTCTCACTACTTTAGCCCAATTTCCATTTTCCTTTTGACATTCAAGTCCCTTTCTATCTTTGATCCCTCCATTGTCCTTTCAATGGATAGCATCAGCTTCTATCATCAGAAAAATCGATTTATAAATCAAAACGATATGATATGAATATTGTTTTTGTTTTACCTTAAAGTCGATATGGTACCAATATTGTTTTATTTACCTTGAAGTTGATATACACATTTCGGTTACAGGTGATAACCTTGTCATTAAAGAGTTGAATAAAATTAAGACCTGAGGGGCATCATTTAACAGTCACATTTAAATTTTATTTTTTTAATATTAATTTGATTGTATTATTATTGTTGTAATATTTTAAAAATTTATAGATAACTTGAATATTACATAAAAATATATATTAAAATTCAATTAATTTAATATAAAACTAGCTACTGATGATGATGACCTTCGACTTTATTATTTCCATAATGGCTTTCACTTTTCTCCAGCAAAAAAAATTGAAATTAATTTAATTCTTTAATTAATACATGCATATATATATATACTGATTTAAGATGGATTGATATGAGAAGAGGGTTTATCAGATGATATAAGAAATGAAGACGATGCATGAATAATAATATACTAGTGTTTATGATGTTTGGCAACCGAGAAAAAAGAAAAAGAAAAGTATCTGAAAACTGACAGACTCATCATCAAGATTCTATTTTCTCAATCTTCATGCTTTGCATGGAAAGAAGCAGCAACAAACCCTTTTTCTTCTTTTTTCCATTTGATTTTGGTCCCGAACCTGATTAACTCGACATGACAACCCAATCCACATACCTTTTCCCTAATTTAGGGAAAAGGAGTTATATTTTTGAATTAACAAAATCCCGACCAAACTCAACCTCATTTAGGGAGCAATTTATGAATTAAATCCAATATAAAACATAAAATATAGAAAGAAAACCCAACATATACTTCCAAGGTGGGTGATTTGACATTACAGATTCTGTTCAGACAGACCAATCCCATTTCAGTTAATTTACGCCCCCACACCCTTCTTTTGTTTTGTTTTTTGTGTTTTCCTTTTGCCAAACTATATGAAGTTGCTGTAGCACAATGCTGGTGTACAACATTCACATGTAGGATGGCCATGGGACTCGAAGCCCACGGTTTCGATCCGACCTGATTTGAACAGGTCGAATATTTTTTAAAAAAATCAGGTTTGGATCGGGTCGGTTTCGGGTTTAGGGTAAAAAATATTCGACCCGAAAAATATATGATTTTACCTTATATTTTTAGGAATAATTATAATAATATCCCTATATATTTTTTTCAATTAAGTATATTTTTATTGAATAAAAATATTTTTTTATTATTTCGGATCGGGTTCTAAATTATATATCGGGTCGGGTAAACCTTGTTTTTGAACAATCAGATGAGTCTATAACGTACGTCACACCAAAATACATCATTAATTGAATTGTCCTTATCAAGTAACTATTGAAAGGGTGAATTATACATTTAATATTTATACTATCATTTTTATTTCATTTTAGTACCTAAACTTTATTTTTTTTAAAACTATTAACGACAATTGAACCAAGGCCTCTTACATGACATGAAATGCAAAGCAGTCAATCATTGAATTATGCTAATCATTTAAGTTAATTTCACCGCATTTTGTATTTAACTTATATAATAGTATCACCATAAAATCAATATTTTATGATTATAAAATTCAAATATGTGACACTTTAAATTAATAATCAAAAACTTAATCATTAAACTATAATGTGAATATATTTTTTATTATATCACACTTAATACTTACTTATATCATTATTAAAAATTTAAAATAATTTTTCACTTTGTTTGAAAATAAAAAATAATTAAATAATTATTTATATATATTTATAAAAATTAAATTAAATTATTCTAAAAATTATATTTATAATATTATAAAATATTTATTTAATTTTTAAAATGATATTATTTTTTATTTGAAATAATATTAATTTGTTATTTGAAATAATATTATTTTAAATTATTTATTTAATTTTAAATAATATTATACAAAAACAAAGTGATAGTGGGATACTAAACATATAATTTACCATAAATTTTTATTTTTTAAAAATTAAAAATTTAATTTAAAAATAATATTATTTCAAATAAATAATTAATATGATTTTAAAAATTAAATAAATATATTTATAATATATTTTTTTATATGATTTCATATAATTTTTATAAAAACATATAACTTATTTAATTTTTTTACTTTGAAATAAAGTGAAAATTAATCTTTTAATTTAATAATGATATAAGTAAGTATTAAGTTCAATATAAAATTTACACTATAGTCGAGTGGCTAAGATTTCTGTCATTAATTTAAAATGTCTCATTTGAATCTTATAATCATAAAAAATATTGATTTTGTGGTAATATTGTTATATAAGTTAAATACAAAATATGGTGATTTTTTTCAAATGACTAGCTTAGTTCAATGGTTGAGTTATTTGTTTATCATTTAAAAAACCCAAATTCAATTCATACTAGGATCAAGAATAATTTTTATATTTTTATCCCCATAGGTGGTGACACCTGTCATCCCCTAATTGGTTGAACAAAATTACTTAAAATATGTTGATGAATAGAAAAAAAATGTGATGTGGTAGTTAAAAAAATAACATGTCATGCTATATATGAATTGTTTTTAATGATTTTTTTAATTTAAGCTTAGATATTAAAACGAAACAAACGTGATAATTTAAGTACAAAACGTGTAATTTATCCTTTTAATATTTACTTAATAAGGACAATTTAACTAGTTATATATTTCGGTGTGTTGCTTTAGTATTGTGTTGTGGTGTGCAACGTGTGTTGTAGAATTTTAATTGAACAACCCGATTTTTAATTGCATTTGGTGAATTAGAAGACAAATCTAAGGTTTCAAATAAAAATATACTGGTATATCTTGTTAGATATTAATTTAAATAAATTAGAAATTAGGATATATTTTATTGTAATTATACTAGTCGAAGATGATTTGATGATGAAATTTATTTAGTTAAGAATTTTTTATAATTAAATATTTAGCTCTATAAATAGATAAAATATTTTAACCTTTAGAATTATGAGAGAATTATTTTAGAGAGTTGTGATCTTCTTGTAGTCTATGTATTTCTTGGGGCTTGTGTTACATAGATAGCTTTGTAATGACATTGGGAGAGTATTTTGAGATATATCGAATTTTGTATAAATATCGGAGTTTTAAGATACTTGGAATATTATGTATCTATACTCTTTGTAATCTCTAGGTTCATGGTGTATTTCTCTCTCTATCTGTAAATATAAATAAAGTTGAATCACATTAAATCTAGTCTCTTGCATATATATCTTAATTTATATCAATATCGTTTTAGTTATTTTTTTTACTTATAAATTCATAACATATGTGGCGGGGATTGCAGCATACAATTCATGATTTTATTCTAAATGTTTAAGAATTTCTCTCATGACAAGATTACCATGTTTATCTTCTACCTTAAACACAAGGGAAAAGACACTCATGGCAAAAGATGATTACAAAATTTAGCCAGAATTTTTCACCATAAGAAATTGCAACATAGTATTGCCTGCAAATAATGTCATGATATGTGAGTTCAACGTATATATAAATGCAATCACTGGAAAAATGAAAAGAACTGGAAAACAAACAATAGCAAGGTTAGGCCTTTCCTAGCAATATAGTTTAGGAGAGCTTCATCCAAATCTCAATTCCTTTTTGTAATTAAAACACATATTATATATGTATTTATGTATATAATATTATTGATGAAGAAGACGACCGGCTTCTACTGGTAAAGTTGGCATTGTGTGTTCAGTAGTAACGGTTAGACTTTTGAGCAGCCTGATCTGCAAATGACTGCTCCACTTTTGCTTGATTGTTTAGCCCAAAGTGAATGTGTGGAAAATGTGCCCACTGCAAATGCATTCTTCTTCTTAGTTACACCATTTACCAACTAGACTGTTAAAACCATTACTGCAACTTTTCATATATATATATATATATATATATATATATATGCCAAGCCAAGTACATAACCATTATCCATATTCATAAATAGAGAATACATAACAATAAAATGTGAAGGAAAAAGAACAGCAATGATCAATAATTTTGAGCAAAACTAGCGGATATATAGATATTAACATAGAATATAAAGCTAGAGTAAATTAAAAAGTGAAAAAAATATTTGAAATTATAGTAATATGAAAGTATATTATAAAATAAAATAACTAATGAGATCATATAAAATTGTAATATTATCCTAACTTAAATTTGCAGAAGCTAAAGAATAACTTACATTTTTTGCTGCAGTGCTGAAAGCTTCCCTATGGCTGATATCTGGGTTACTAGCCTTAATCCTTTGGATTTCCTCCCTAAATATAGAATATGAACCAACAAAGGAAAATTTGTGTGAGAAAGATGGTTTTTGATCCATTATTCTCATAAACAGTCGTATTATTTTATGTTATATGTGAACTTATGATATTTTAGAGGACGAAAGTAAATTTTATTAAAAATACAAAAAAAATAATACTTAAAATATATTTGAAGTTAAAATTTTCAGGACTATGGCCATCACTTATTATCCATATATATAATCAAAGTAGCCATGAAAGTTTGGTTTAAACTTACTTAATGAACCTGTTATACGCAGAAGGAACACGTTGTCTCTTCTCAGGGGCTGCATTATTTCATCACACAAAGAGATCATCAAATCTGATCATAATCAAGCTTAATTAAACAAAACTCTGGGTATAAGGGCTACACATCTCCATGCAATGGTTCAGGGTTCTTCCATCAAACTTCAGAGATTGTTTATAATCCAAAATAATAGAAAAGAAAAGAAGTTTTGTACTGGCATAGGCAACATCAGCATTTGTGGCATGTGAAATTTGACAGTGTAGGCTCTAGTAGTACCTGGGTTCTCAATAGTGGTCCATTTTCATGCAAATGTAAGCATAAGAATTCTTTGTGATAAAGATATAATTTAACGTATGCTGCTGTAGGGGCAACTTTTGATATGCTTTTAGGGTGCGGTGTAGGAAACTGTTACTAATTAATGAGGAGTTAAAACTTGCCATGTAATGTCACCATCTTATAGGGGCCACGATTGGAAAGGAGATATCAGATAAGTTGCTTAAGCTGTTGAGGTATATATATACATACATGTATATGTAATTATGTATGTATGGATGTGTGTTGTATGTATGTATGCACGTATATTAGAGAGAGGGACTGACGGCGAATAGGAGGCATTCTTTGTGCTTCTTGTTCTGCTGACTCAAATGCAGAAAACTGCTTGCTGCACTTTGAAGAAGATCCATGGTCCTTATTTGGATGATCTTCATCAATGTTTATGGTCTGCTGTTTCTGCAACTCCACTCAAAACAAAGCAAAAACAAGTAAATCATCCAAACAATCCCACAAAATTTTTGTTCATAGCGCTTTTCAAAAAAAAAAAAACTACAAGAGCAGTAAATTTTTAGCACAATATTAGAGTATAATATCTGCTGAAAAGGGTAAGGTATCCATAAAAAATAGTTTGCTTTGGAATCTTTGATCACTCTGTGTTTGAATACCTGAGCATTTTGAATAGGAACTGTTTGAAGTGAAGTTCCCATATTTACAGACAGCAGATTGGCACAATGCCCACATCGAACAGTCACAATTTTGAACAAACTGTTGTATGGAACACTAACCTGCAAAATGTTACCATTCTGGAAATGTTATAATCACCTGCAAGCTTAATAAAGTAGTGAGAGTGAGAACTGATCAGAAGCGGCTATGAATATGTATATGTATTTATAGATTGGAGAATGTTTTACTTCATAGTACAATCTTATCAAACCCTAAGAAGAAACCAAAGTCCCAAGCTTAAATATCCTTTGAGATTTCATAATACCAAAGAACATGATGTAGTAATCCATAGATGGGGAAGATAAATAAGTGATAGCATTAGTATCAGATGCCAAAATAGATCAATAAGTTCAGAAATTTAGGTTCCAAGAACTCAGTCATTTGTTCAGCTCACATAGGGCAATAACTACAAGTACAAAGGACTTGTTTGTTGTTACTTTTCTGCCCCCAATATTATGTATTTTCCTTTCGGTGCGCCTGCTTTTTCTGCCTGGCACTTGAAGCTAGATGATAAAAGGAAAAAGAAAAGAAAACCCAGAGTGGAAGAGAGAGATGAAAACGACGTGACCGGAACGGAAATCATAAAAGTCATGAGCTATCAAAGATGGCCATCGAATAAAGAAGAAGAAAAGAAAAAAAAATTATCATGAACGGTGGATTGATTTACTGATTTCGTGTGCAGTGTTCCTGTGAATGTGATTTTGTTTGTTTCCCGGGAGAATGTTATTATGAAAGGAGGGTTTGAAAAGAAAGAGACGAAAAGCAGCACTTGATTTTCCTCTCCTCAACTTCTTTTTGATATTACATCGAATACATATCTATCACAAAAGGAAAATATCTTTAAAAAAACTATGATTTCTAGTTTCAGATGAAGGAATTAAGCATTTAAGAAAGGGTTTGTTGATGCAATAGCTCTAGTAGAAGAAGATCAGGTTACTGGTAGTACAACAATCGGGATTTTTCTATCGGGAAGAAACTAAAACAAGTGGCAGGCATGCATTTGGAATACCATGACTTTGAAAGGTAGGGAAAAGGAAAGAATCTCCACCATTGTTGACTTGGAGCTTGACCTGGAAGAACCCTAAAATAATGATCTCAATTGTAGATAGCTACATCTGAAAAAAAAAATAAACTTTCGGGTTGAAACTCACTTGGCCAAGCTTCTTCTTGCTTATTTATGAGGGATCAATCTTTTGAAGGGATTCAAAATCAGAAATTCCCAGTTTTTTATTTATGTAGTATCTCGTGCTTGTATCAGACAAAACCAGGCTGAAAATCTTCATAAAATATGAGATAAAGAATGAGAATTTTGAGCTACTTTACAAGCTAAATCAAGAAAATCTCATGATCCATGGAAATATGGTAGGCATCTTTTAATTCTGGTGTGAATTCCCAATTTGTTCTTCAAGAAAAAGAAGCCAAATGGGTTTCAGAAAAGCAGACATGGCCAAATCAGCTCTCTTTTTTGCAACAAAAGAAGAAGGAAGAAGAAGAATAAGATAAAGGAGAGAACTGAGGGTTGTACCGCTAAAATGGTGCTGCAGAAGTTGCAGTGAACATAACAAACACGTTCAGATGCCGAATCCAGTGACATTTTTGTTCCAACTTGTTCTCTCTCTCTCTCTCTCCTTTTTAAATACTATATACCCCACTACAAGGCTAGAACAAAAGCCTAAAGAAACTGGGAAAAGAAAATAGGGAGGATCAAAGGGATGAAGAGAAGTGGAACGACAGAGAAGAAGAAAATTGTTGATTTTTTTTCTTCTTCTTTGGCTACAAATATATATATGGAATTATGATGAATTGTGAGAGACAAATGTATAAAAAAAAATCTGACAGGACTTGTCTGGTCGGATGAGGGAGATAGAAACACTGCAGTGGAGAAAGAGAGTGTGGGGGATGGAAAGTGGGCTTTGTTTTTCCTCATTATTATCATTATTATCATTATTTCTTTCTTTTTTTTTACAAAATGCGATTAGAGTTTTTTATGATATTATTAATTATAATTTTAATGAAATTAATTTAATTATTTTTAATTAAATTTATACTTGATAATCAAGGATTTTATAAATATAATATACACACCCACATCTTATTTAATTAAATAAGTATTTTCAGCACACAGTTTTACAAATTCTTTTTTATCATCTAAATGTAAATTTATACCCAGTAAAATTATAATTTGTTTCCAAACGCAAAGAATAAACTGAAAAAGCTAGAAATCATAGTTTTTGCGGTTGGTTTAAAACCATCGTTTCCACCGCAATTTTTTTTCATTTTTTACCCGACTAGCATTGATTTTACGGTCAAAACGAGCTTTTTACCTAAAAGATCTTTTAGAAAGCCACGCTAAACGAGCCCTTAATCTCTCTTAGGGTCAATTTGGAAGAGTTTTTGAAAAGTGACTTTTAAAAGTGTGGTAGAAAAGAATTTTTAAAAGCGTTGTTTAAAAGTGCAATTTAAAAATTTAACTGTTTGATATTGTTGTTAAAAAATGTGTTTGAAAAAATAAAATATCCTTTATAGACATTAAATTTAAAATATATAATTTAAATTATTTTTGCACTTTATTAATATTGTGATATATAAAATATATCATTTAAACTATATTAAAAATATAAAAAATATTTTAAGATAATTCATTAATAATATTATTAAAAATGAAATATTTTATTAAGAAAAATATATTGTCAATACTTTTTAACACCTGGATATAAAATATTCTATTAATATTTTAATATATAAACCATGAATTTTATTTATTTATTTAATAAATTATTAAGTAATGAATTATTTTTTAAGATTAATATTAAAGTATCAAAATAAATTATAAATACATAATTGAGTTCATGTATTAATAAGGGAAAAATATAATTTGGTCTCAAACACAAAGTTGAAAATGAAAAAGCTACAAATTCTAGCTTTTGCGGTTAGTTTAAAATCACAGTTCACACCATATTTTTTTTACATGTTTAACATTGATTTTGCAGTCAAAACGGGCTTTCTAGGTAAAAGTGTGTTTAAAAAGCTACGCCAAACGGGGACTTAAGGTGATTAAACATAAATATAACTATAATCAATATATACAAGAATTATACTAGAATTATAATAAGATACTTTCATATAAAAATTTAGATCAATACATAATAAATAATAAATTATGTGGTATAAGTTTTTGTATAGAAGTCATTACTTTTATTAAAAAATGAAATATTCTGATTTACAATAAAGATTTATAATCATAATCGTAAATTAAGCACATAATTAAAATATTTTTTTTCTAAAACTATTGAAAAAAATTAGAAACTTAAGATCACATAAGAACCAAATAAGGAAATATTAAGAAACTCAACCAAAACTTGAACAATGATAGATACCAATAGATTTGATCGCGTTGACAAACAAATCAAACTATTGAAAGATCACCGTCAGAACCACAAGCCAAGCCAAGCGATGTGAAAAAAAAACTATCAACGAATGCGAATCAAGTATCTAAATCCAATCCGAGGGTCCAAAGTATGGAATATCGGTATAATAACATATAAATGTCATCTTGATCAGTCGCGGTGATCTCTAATCAACCCTTAAAAAGATAAGTGAATAACAATGGTCGAACGACTAAAAACGTGTCAAAAAGACGGAGAAAAGCTTTCCATAAAGACAGATGAACATGTGTCATAAAGACATACTTGTTGAAAATTAAAAATAAGAGAAAAATAAAGATGTGATATAAAAAAATAAAAAGACAATGAAAAATATTGACAGTTGACACCCAATATTAAAGTTGGTGCCACCGTCAATAAACAAATATAAAAAGAAGTATGAATGACACACCACAAAGGAGAGAAACAAGAAAAACCAAGGTGTGAAGGAATTATATACTTATCCAATAACTCTGAAAATATGTAAAATTGAACGACGTAATAGTGTGGTATAATTGAATTAGAAATCAAACCAAAATAAATCTTAACCTGAACAAAAACATGTAGATAAAACTCACAAATATGAAACGTTATTTTATGAACTGTTTCCGACACCTAATCTATAATCATCATCAATTCAACCCACCTACTTATCATGTGTGAACTTCCACTCTTTTTCCTTCGTGTAATCTCTTTTATGAATGGTTATTTGAAAGTTATGATTTAAATACATGATAATATGAAAAATGATGAACTGGGAAATTTTAATAAATAAAAACATTAAATAATATACTAAGAAAGAAATTATGAAATATTTTTTTCATATAACGTAAGACGTAAATTAACATTTAAATAAATTAAAATTATAAAAATCGAACTCAGTGAGTGTGTGCGTGGATTATGATCGAGGGAATGAGTGGATGGGAGTAACCCTATCCTTGGTGTCTGTAGCGGAAGAGGGGGGCGAGATATTTATGCTTTGGAATGTTTTTGGGATGCGAGTTTTAAAGCAATACATACCGCAAGTGGACCTCACGCGCGCCTCTAATCCCTAATACTCCACCATCAACGTCTTTATAAAATAGGGTCAAATACACAAATCAATCACCGATTATATTATATTATTTTGTTAAATTCTTCTACTATTAAAAATTATAAAATAATATTTTAATTATATGGAGTTATTTTGTTAAGTCCATTTTTTAAACTCGTCAGTTTTTATTAAAAATTAATGACAGACTGAGTTGGATGTTAACTTGTTAACAAGATATGATAGTCGTTTGAGATATTGAGAAGTCATGTTTTATCATATCATAGTAACATGTTAACGTACAACGCAAACTGTCATTAATTTTTTAACAGAAAACAGAGTTTTGAATATATGAATAGTTATGTAATTATTTTACAACTTTTAATAGTTAAGACTGAACAAAATAAAATCTTATAATCAAAGGATCATTTCGTAACTTTAATAGTCGGAGGACTCAACAAAGCAGTACATTATACTCGGAGACCATTTATGTACTTTATCCTATAAAATATTACAACCTTTAACGTATTTATAAATAAAATATTAAAAATAATTTCTTTATATAACTTTATTATTTTTAAAAAAAATATAGGTAAGGATTAGGAAGGTTTAAATAAAAATCTTTCACCATTTCATAAAGGATCTAAAGTACTACATTGAGTCACTAAAACGATCGCTAAATTTAAAATTTATTTAAAAATTATCATAAAAGTCAAATTTTATTTTAAAATATCGAAAATAAATCAAAAGCATGAGTTTAGAATATTTATACAAAATCGGAACTCTAATTATAATAAAATGTAAATCGCAATAATACAAACTGAAATATAAAAAGTAAGTTCCTATGAATACATATGGTCAGTTTGAATAAGAGTGCTCGAAGTCTCAATTTGACGACACTCCTCTAACATTAACATAAATTAATAATCTAAACACACACACAAAAAAACAATACAAAAAACAATTCGAACATTAGATTTTATAAACTTAATTATATACATCTACTGTACTATAATTCATACAACTCAAATTACTCACACAAAGAGTATATAATACCACTAAGCTATACGTAGATGTTGTAGGATCAGTATTGGATATCCAAATAGTGTCGCGTTACTAAGACTAAATATTTAATAGATACTCTAAGTGTTCGTATTGTTATTCAGAACACCATTAAGGCTGTATAGATATTCTTAATATTGAGCTTTTCAGTAACACATTTACAATAATATTTATTATATTTTATAGTAGGATTATTTTAATAAATGATATTGAGTAATTACCTTTAAAAAAATTGAATTTGTTTTCTCCATTTCAAATCAGCTGATTGATAATGCTATTGAGTAATTTTTAGATATCGGCATGTGAAATTGTTGAAACATATTGGAGATAGTTGTGGTCAAGTCTTGGACCCCATTGGTCCAAAGATTGAGAAAATGATGTATCCACACCTAATTTAAACTTTAACCCTAAGAATGAATGGTCCAAATACCTCAACCACAAGGCCTTAAAGCATTAATTATTGTTTGTACTAAGCGACTTTTCATGAGGAAAGATTGTTTCTGCAAATAATTCATTTCGTTGAAAAACATAATTCTTTTTGCTTAAGATATAAATTATATCTCTCCATCAAGATTTAGATACCATAGAACCTCAAGCAAAAGTTGATATTAGCATTAACTTGGATGAAACTAAATAAAAAAAATCAGGGTTTTTGAGGGTTTTACAAAATGTTTTTAGTTTTCTGAAAGTCAAAAACACACTTGGTTAATTAAAAATAAAGAAGTGTTTTAAGAAATATATATATATTTTTAAAATTAATCAATGGTCTCTAATTTATTAATTGGCTAATCAAGATTATGTTTTGTATAGGCTCGTTATGGGAGCGATCCTTCCAATCTAATTTTTTCATTCACAATCGTCAGATGAATCCTTACTTAAGGAACACAATATTACCTCATCCATTAAACTAATTAGTTGTTAATAGGAATAAAAATATTAAAAATGTATTCGGTATCTAATTTTTAAGAATAAATAATTAAATTAACACATACTTATTAGAAAAATATTATAATAATGAATTAAATTAAATTAAATTAAAAATTAACTATATATTTAGTCATCTATCTATTCTCAAAAAATATACTTTTTTTAACATAGGAGAGGAATTAAAATTATAATTTTACAATATAACTTCTGATTTTCTAATTTTCCAAGACATTCGATCAAGGGAATCTAATGAATAATCATTCGTATGTTATAAGTTATAATGAAGACTAATGTTGACTATAAATTTTAAAATTGTTCCATGTTTAAAGATACGATTCATTTAAATCTATTAAGTAATCTCGATTATAAAAAACATTATTTTTAATTAATGATTTGTGTTCAAACAATTATATTTATATATATATATATATATATATATATATATTATCAATAAATTAAAAATTTCTGCTAATATATTATCTTGTAATCACTTAAATTATTAAAAAGAAAAATTATAAGCTCACCTAAATCTTGTTTCAGTGTTTAATTTTCAGAGTACATAATAGCCCACGTAACCTGTTCAAGTAAATGCAAAGATACAATAGATAAGGCCCAGGCATATCTATATTACTGGATCATATATTGCTGCCCATTTTAAATCTGTCCTATATAGAATTGTTACAACTAATATTTTAAGGTGTTGATAATTTTTTTATAATCATCGGTATTCGATCTATTTATCAATTAATTTGAATTGGATACTGTAGAGGTAAGGAAGAATCTCCGTCAAAATTCAAAGTACTGACACTGTTTAGTGGCAAATTAGAGTTGACATATATATATTAATAACATAAAATTTTCATAGGGGGCGAGCACAAATAAATTTTCAGGATCGCATCATCAATAAAATAAATAACTAATCGAAAGAAATATAGTAACCAAAGATCATATAAAATATACAATAAATCAGATATTAGATAAACAATATTCAGAAAATCAGGTATTGTGTCGTAAAAATATTCAGTATCATCGGAAATCTAAATCAATTCAGATAAATAGTTTAAAACACTAATGTAACATCATTAGGAAACACACATGTACAAGTTTGAGTAATCTAAAAAGGAAGCCTACCCAAGCCTGCTGATCACGATCAGCGACAGCGCTAGATCCTACAAATCGGGAAATCTATATCGAAATCCTAATATGAATAATAATAACCTCCATTTAAACAATTTACAGAAACATACGAGTAACTCTCGAAGAACATTGATCGAGCGAGTCTGACGGATGGGAAGCACCGGATCTATTGACCATTGGTTTGGGGAAACACGAGTACCTTCATAAAAATATATACTCGAATCGATTCCATAATCAAATCTTAAATAAATAAGCAAAAAATGCTAAAAAATACTAAGTATTTTTGGATTAATAGCTCGATTCAGGGCTTTTTTGTCAGAATTTGGCAAAACATATTGTAAAATCGGACTCAAGATATCGCAAAAGTCAAGATGAAGGTTTTCAAAAAAAGTCAATGACAGTCAACGGTTGACTGGCTCGATTCGGGTTGGACTGAGTCAGGTCAGGCAGGCGGGTCGGGTTAGGTCGCTTCTAGAAGCCAACCAGGTGGACCTTCCTCACGCCAGTAGATGCGTGTGGGCGCGAGGGCGGGGCCTTCAGGGGTTGGAAAAATTACGAAAAATTCCTATATGCATTTTAAGAGGTTTTGAGACACTTGCCAAGCTTGATTCACAGCGGTGAACGGTAGTGAACGTCGAAGAGCTTGATTTCGCAACATCGGAAACTTGATCTTCCTCACCCCTCACACACCGGCGGCAACGGAGACAAAATGGACACAAGTGACACAGGATGATGCAAGGAACACGATGGTGCGAGAAGTATCGAAAACGGAACATGGATCAACGATAAAACGTCGATTAAATATTTCCTACTAAAAGAGGAAATGTTGAGAGAGAGGAGAAGGGTTTCTGGAAAGTTTCTGATTTTTGGACTTTTAAACCCAGATTTGAAAAAAGATATAATTACACTATAGGTCCTCTAGTTTTAATTGCTTTATTAATTTTGATCTAAATTTAATCAAAATTTTCACTATAATCTCTGAATTTAATTAAAATTTTATTTTAGTCAATTTTTTTTTAAAAAAATTAGACCCTAATTTAGGGTGACATGAAACTGTTAGGGAAGCGGCAAACATTGCGTTAGCAGGCGGTGCTATTGTAGCGATATCAACTGCAGGTCTTGCCTGGAAATACTCAAGGAGTTTACATGGTACTCTAATCCTTATTCTCTATGGTCATATTTTAAGCTATGAAACAATGAAGATCAAAATCCCAGCTCCCTTGAGAATTGTAGCATGTGGGAGTGTGTTTCTTTTGTGGGTTGCATTATTAAGCTGATATATATATATATATATATAGCTATATTTGAATTCGTGCTTGACATGCAGTCAAAGAAGTTTATGAGGCAATGTTAAGTGCATAAACCGTCTCACTATTCTGAACGATTCATCTTTCTTGCAATCCTATATCAAACCGATTATGAATTATATGACAGAAATTCGTGTATGGTTCGGACTAGCCAGACAACGAAATCTATGAGGCAATGTTAAGTGCATAAACTATGACTTTGACACTCACACTATACAGATTGAATCATCAATCGTTTTTGTTTTCTGTATTCTCCTTGTTGTAAAGTTTCTTAGTAGTTTGTTATCTTGTTGTCTTCTTAAGTCCTAGTGGCTATATTGCTTGAACTCTTCACTTTTCTTCAAATACTATATCTGAAACTTGTGTCCAACATATGAATATGGAGATCTGACTTTCTAGGGTCCTTCAAATACTTGAAAGAACCTAGAAAAAATATAATCATACCCGTATTTGAAACTCACGCCTCGAGTCCAAGTAGCATAGCTTAGTGGTATCTTTCTTTGCCGGTATGGAACTACAATTATTAGGTGATTACCCAACTTTCTGCATGGCTTGTGGTTTCCCTTCTAATCATAAATAGTAAACTCATTAAATATCAGTGGAGAAACAAAAGGATTGAGGGAGAAAATACAATTTAGCCTGGTATTTTTTATACAATAATAAAAGAAAACATTTTTAAGAGACGCATTTGTGCGTTAAGCCATTGATGAGATCTTTCAAGCTTACAACTTCTTCGTTGATTACAAGTCGGAATAACACTTGATATGGGATTATGATCCAAGTGGAAGTTATTTTAAAGAATCTCACCCCCTATTTTTTTCGCAGGTGCCGGACTGTCTTTCGCAGCGGGAGCTATCTTTGGTTGGACATTCCGGCAGGAAATCGCTAATCACTGGTATCAACTCTATAGGTTGGACACGATGAGTGCACAAGTCAAATTTATGGACTGGTGGGAAAAGAAATGCCAGAGGCGGTCTTGAACTCGGCATCGGCATCGTGTTTGGTAGTAGGCACCAAGACTTTGAACCCATTTGCTTAATAATGGCGTTATGTTGAAAATGTAATGCTTGATTTTGATGCGTTGGCCTTTTGTCAGAGACTTGGCATTTGTGTTTCAAGGGTTTCCAGTCAATTTTTTCTCCTCTGAGAAGCATATTGGCATGTCCTAATAAGTTGCTAATCTCCTTTTTTGACAAAGTTACTAGTGAACATGCAAATCTGTTTTCCTCCATTTTCCCACCAACCAAACACATCAACAAATCAATGAAACACTAGAGTTGGATTTGCTTTACACAGGCAGAGAGAAGAAAGTACCTGAAGATGAGCCCGGTGCTGACGTGGATTTTACACTGTCGTCGATTACTTCACCTATCATTTTGTTCTGTCATGCAGCATAGTCAATTATGGAGTATGCAATAACACATTCATGATTTCATCGTTAAGCATTGATAAATATGGAGTCTAAAACATATTCACAATTGAGGTGCTTCGAAATATAATATGAATAAAGAAAATTGATGGAAAAAGTTGAATGTGATAACATCAAATTGAATAAAGAACTCAAACAAGTAGGATCCTTTTTCGCATATTTTTGTTTGGATCTTATTTTGAAAGTGAAAACGCCTACTCGAAGCTTCTCAAGAAAAGTGTGAGAAAACGAATTTGAATTTCTGAACCGGAACAAAAGGGATCCGATTTTTTTATTGGATTTTAATTCCTTGCTAACGTTAAGTCGTACGTGTACGACCCTATTTCTGAAGGTTCCCTCCAGAACCCGGTTCCGGTAAATCGGGCCGCCAACTTCTCCTCCGAATCAGATTCATCGGTTCCCATGGACCCGTTATCCTCGTTATCACCAATTTGATTCCCTTTCACCATCCGGTCCAACTCGGGGAGGAATATCGGATTAGTGATTAAATTGTAAAATTTTAGAATCTGGTAATTAAAGTAGAATAGTTGAATAGTTCAATGATTTATTTAAAAATATTTCCTGAAAGTTGTTAGTAATTATCAAAGGAAATAAAGGGTAATATGGTCATTTGGCTTGGAAATGATAAGATAATGATTATATGTATGGGGATAAGGATAAGGAGATATTTTCTCTACTTCTTATCTTCTTTCTTCTTCTCCAACGTGAAGCACCCAAGCAAAGGTAAGTTTTTTTATTTGTTGATTATTTGTTGATTTTAAGTATGGGTTTTGATCCTTAAGTGATACTTAAGCTTGAGGAAAGCTTAAATTGTCTTAAAATCAAAAGATAAAGAAGTTATAAAAGATTAAAGTGAATGGATTTTTAAGTGAATTTCTAGAAAAGAGTTGATAAGTTGAATTTGAAACTAAATTTGATTTGTCATCAACTTAATTAAGAGATATGAAGTGATAGAATTGGATTTAGAGTATATTGAAAATTTGGTATGATTATTGATTTTCATATGAAAGATGAAATTTTGAGGTTAAGGATGTATTTAATGAGTAGAAATTAGTTTAAGTATATGTACTTGAGTTAAGAACAAAAAAAGGAATGAAACATGAATAATTTAATGAAAATTTGTGGAATTTTCGGGTGAAACCAGTTTATTATTGACAGGTGCATCGATACACTATGAATGTGTACCGATGCACTAAGACCAATTTTAAAGGTGCATCGATACACACCGGCAGGAATCGATGCATGAAAATTTCGAAGCTATTTTGGGTATCGATGCACCCATAGTACATCGGTACACTCCTAAAGGCAAAGTTGAAGTTTGGTTTATTAAATTAGCCTAAGTTATTAATACCAAGTTATAAAGTTTAGGCTTTTGATAATCGTCTCGGAATTTATGTTTATGTAGATATCGAGCCTAAACGAGTTCCGGAACAAGTGACAAGTAAGATTGATCGAGAGAAAAGGCAAGGAGATCCAAGTGAGTGCATCTTATTTGAATATGAGATTATATGGAAATTGGACTTGCGATAAGTCTATTTCCTCTAAGTCTAGTTCATGAAGTCATAAACATAAATATGCGAATGACATGAAATGTATGTATGCTTGATTATATGAGTTGATATGTTCTGGTATGTGCTATGTGTTTTATGTGAGTATAAAAGATAAGTCATGTGATAAGATTTATGTGATGTATGGAAATGAAAATATATGAATATGAAGAGTTATAAGAGAACAAATATAAATTATATGATAATGAAATATAAGATTATGTGAATATATGGTTATAAGATAAAATGTGTAATAATAGGAGAATATGATGAAAGTGAATTCCTGAGAACAATAAGAACTAGGTAAACATTTTGTAAAGGTTATATGAATAATAGAGATATGAATTAGACAAGTACATAGTGGTATAATCAATTATGAGAATTAGTGCATTAGAGTTATATGACTTATGGAGAATTGAAGAAAACTAGATAAGATTGAATTATAGAATGAACTGAGAATAATATATCACTTAGGAAACTTGAATATAAAGTGATGATATGCACATATAGTATAAGATATATGTTTATAAATATGACATAGGTTATGTGTTATATGATAAATATGAACATATGAAAACAAGAGATAAAATAAGTGACTTTGTGATAGAAGCTATATGACCATGAATGATGTAAATAGGAATAATTTAAGTACTATGTAACTATGAGTATTTGATTATGTATCTGTGTGATGTGATATATGAGGTAATATGAAATATTATACGACTATATGAATATATGAAAAAGAATATAGGTATATGTGAATTATATGGAAATGAACTACGTGACTGGATGTGATCATATGAATATTGATAATGAGCTATGAGATTATGTGTATATGTGAGAAGAAGAATATGAATATATGAATGTATGGCTTTGGGAAGACATAATAATAAGATAAAAGCAAGGTAACAAGAAATGTGAAATGACATGAAAAGTTGATATAAGTTATGCAAAAGTGATCTACGTGACTATATGTATATGTGATCCAAGTTATGTGACATAAGCTACGTGCTATGTGAAAGTGAACTACGTGTTATGTGAAATGATAAGTATAAAGATAATGCCCATGTTATGTGTCATGAGAGCTAGAGGTATAGTTGGTATGCCAAGAGTAGAGGGTTTACGCGGTCCTTCGGGACAATTCTACGTGGTCCTTCGGGACATATATGTATTCTTTAGAACATGTATGAGGTCTTTTGAGACACCTACTTGATCTTTGGTATATGTATATGATTCTTAAGGAATTTCTATGTGGTCCTTATGGACAATCTTATATGACACTACGGTGCATTTCTACGTGGCACTTCGGTGCAAATTCTACGTGGCACTTCGATGCAATTTATACGAGCTATGGTGACAGCATTTGTGCACAACCTCAATGTACTCACATACCTTAAGTTCTCAAAAGTATACATGGTCTAATAAAGCAATAATATAAATATATTGTATGTGATATGTGTATGTGTAACATGTTATGAGGAATGGATTACAAGGATTATATGATGCTATGCATGATTCTTTGCGAATGATAATATATGTGCGGGTGAATAATTGTTGCATGATAGAATATAAGTTGTGTGTGTATTGTTTAATTAAGAATGACTAAGAGATATAAATGATAATGGAATGAGGTCAGGATGGAAATGATGAGTGATATATATGAATATATTTAATTATATGAGATGTTATATGGTTTTGTATGATATGATAGTATTAATTGTACATGCATTGTTATAAGTAAGAGTTTACATTATATATGTTTATATATCTCACTAAGTCAACGACTTAGCGTGTGATTGTTTCACACGTAGGTTCCGAGAAGATGAAGATTCAATAAAAGTTATGTAAGACAGGTCAGTTTCTCTTTTCCAAAGATCAGATCAGAAAAGAAATGAATAGTTTATATTTTGTAATACTGATTGTGGTCGGCATGTAAATAAAGGCTTGAATCCGATATGTTATAATAGATTTTATAAAATCATATGATTGAGTTTTGTAATGTTTTAAACATATATATATGTAAATGGTAACTTTATACCGATAAAAGCTTAAATTTTTATGAGCTTTATATAAATTGAGTGGAAGTTACTGTAGCAGTAATGTAGCAGCGCACCGATACAATGTATAACTGTTCACGGTATTATTCATTACTGTTCATGATACTATTCATACAATATAGTACTATTCATAAAAATTCTTTCCTTAAATTTGTTATAATGAAACATAATTTAATGGTATATTATCGTATTTTCTTAATATAAGTCCAAATGTTTTATTATTTTATAAGAATATTATTTTAAAAAATCAATATGACATCTTAGATTCGTATATAGGTCATGTACGGGTTGAGGTGTTACACGGGATCCTCCATCGGCGTTGTAAGATGCGAGATTTGGTTCTTATGGTTTCGTCTCTTCCTTGCGCAAGCCTTCTCGCAGTCCGGTGGGAACCTTGTATAGGCCCAGAAAAAGCATCTCCATCATGGTAAGCGGGACGCAGCAAGCCACCGCCGCGGATCCGCCGACCATTCCCCCGTAATTCTTCCCTTTCCTCGCCGTCTTCGGCGGTGAACGTGACAATTGCTTAAGAGTCATGTTTAACCAATGACGTGTTTAGTATCTCTCTCCCTTCTTCCAGGAAAGAAACTAAAGAGAACGAAGACGGTGATTTCGAAACGAAGAGTGTATGGGGAAATGGGATGCTGAATTCATTTCGAAGTTTATTTTAAATGAAGATAACATGAGAAAGTGAAAGGGAATTCCGAAGAACCGAGGAAGACAAAATTGAAAGAAAAAAAAAAGTGTGCGAAATATCCATCCAGCTAATAAATAGAAGAGAATTCTTTTGACCAAGCGCTTGATTTTCCAGGAAAATATAAATAAAATTTAACGGTGAATTTTGATTCTTTTTTTTAAGATACAATAAGCATTTTAAAATTTTTAGAAAATTAATATGATCTAATTTTTTTTGAAATAAATTTTGTATTTATTATCACTTTCAAATTAAAAAGGAAATTATTATTATATTATAATTGAGTGTATTGTTATTATATTAAAAATATAATATTATTAAATTATTAATAAATATGTTTAAAATAATTATATAATTTACTATTTTAAATAATAAACATTACTAAAATATTATATTGATAATTTTTTTTTGAATATAAAAATATAAAATAATATTTTTTATATATTTTTATGGTTTAAAATGAAAAATTAAAAAAATCCATTTTAAAAAAATTAGATCGTAAAACATTTTATAGAAAAAAAATTAGATAAAAAAATATTTTAAGTCAATCAAATACTAAAAAAATATGAAAAACATGCATTTTTCTTTTGTAAGTTATGACATGCATTTTTTATGAGTTTCTTTTTCCTTTTGTTTTTTTTTATTTGAGTCTCTTGTTCGTCGATAATTCTAATTTTCTTTCTTTCAATTAAATGTAATCACTTCACTAATTGCTTAAATAAAATAATTACTATGAAACTTAAAAATCTTCTTAGCTGGTGCTATTATTCATTGTTCATCATCATTATTTATAGTAATTTATCACTGCTTGCATATTTTCTGGTGATATTGATATTAACTTCTGTTTTCTGTTTGGATTAATTGTAATTTATCATTTTAGTTTTATGCTAAATGATTTAATACCTGTACAACCAATTTCTTCTGAAAAAACCGAGTATTTGCATTATTCTTAATCAATCAAATAATGAAACATCAAGATACTATTTGCATATTTTACCCTTAAATTAAATAAAAAAGGATTATTAAAGATAGCAAACTCGGGCTTATTAGCTATTCTTTTCCCAATTTAATAGCAAAAACGTAGTTCATACAGTACAAAATCTTCTTTCTACTAAACTTTCAATACTCTTAGGAACATGAATACTTTCGGAATCCTCCAACTTTTTTTCTCCATCATCACTGCTGAGCACATTGCACCCTTTGAGCACCACCAGGCATATCCTCGTCTTCATCATAAGCTTCCTGCGCTGCTGCTTCCTCCTCATCTCCTCTTCAAAGTTAACATCATATAGAGTGGTCTCCTCGCACTCGTCTAACTCCATATCGGTCAGCTGACATGTCGGTTTCGGTGGCAGAATAGCCTCGAGTGCCTTAACCTGATCGGCGCTAAGAGAATCAGGGAATTCGACAGTGAAGTGAATGTACATCTTGCCCTTCATGAATGGCCTCTGGTATAATGGCATTCCCTCATCATTGATTGCCTTGAAGGAATCTGAAAAACAAGTTTCACAAGTTACTAATCAAGCAATATGTAGAAGAAAGCGTTGACAATGAATCTACAAATTTCATATCACTTACCAGGCTTCACAACCTCCCCAGGGTTCGACTTGATTAGAAGCTGTCTCCCATCGAGATGGGTGATTACAAACTGGAAGCCACACAAAGCCTCGGTAAGAGACAATGTGTGCTCCACGAAAAGATCTTCGCCCTTTCTCTTGAACTTTGGGTGGTCCTTCTGCTGAAGAACAAAGACTATGTCCCCGGTAACGGTATCAGGCTGCAAAACACACCGAACACAAACAGATTAATCAAGAAACCAAGTGCATACACTAAATTGTACTTCTATTTACATTCATCACAATACATACCGCCTCGTCAGCTTCGCCTGGGAATGTAACCTTCTGTCCATTCTGCATACCCTTCTCTACAAAGACTTCCAAAACTTTCTTCTCCTGCACAACCTTATCACCCTTGCACTGAGGGCAGCGATCCTTTTCATTGATCGTTTCACCGGTACCCTTACACTCGTTGCAAGGGTGTTGCATTTGCTGGATCATGGAAGGACCAAGGTGCCTAATTGAAACCTTCATACCAGAACCCTGGCAACCGGGGCACTGCATTGAAGCTCCAGATTTCGAGCCCTTGCTGTCATGAATAAATAACACGTTATAAGCGTACTCAACCAGAAATTCACAAAACGATATGAACAACCAAAACATGAACTCACCCATTGCATTTCGAGCATATTACATTGCGGGAAAGAGAGAGTTTCTTCGAAGTTCCAAGGTAGAGGTCCTCTAGTGAGACTTTAAGAGGATGAACTACATCCTCTCCCCTTCTCTGTCTTCTTCCTCGACTGCTACCACCTAATCATCAACAATAACACCATGATTCAACATTATCCCAATTACCCTAAATTTAGTTTCAACAAAGATTCTCAAATCCCTTTCATCAGGTTCATTAAGCAATCAAATAATCTTACGTTATCTAAAATAACATGATCACATAACAAATTTTGATTGCAATGGATAATGAATCGAAAATCATCCAACAAATTAACTACGATTTTGAATCCAATTAAATCGCTTACCGCCAAACGGGCTACCGCCAAAGAAGGAGGAGAAGATGTCAAACGGGTCATGGGCGCCGGCTCCGCCGACCATTCCTTCCTTGAGTGCATCCTCGCCGTACTGATCATAAATCTCACGTTTCTCAGGATCGCTCAATACCTCATAAGCTTGAGCCAACTCTTTAAACTAACCAATCAAACAAAACCCCAGAAAAAAAAAGAGAAATTAGCAATAAAATCATTCCACCAATATTCAATAAAAAACCCGAAAATTCTAAAATAAACACAAATACTATACTTTTTCAGGATCACCGCCTTTGTCTGGATGGTTTTTGATGGCGGCTTTCTTATATGCCTTCTTCAAATCATCCTGGGATGCGTCCTTCGAAACACCCAGAATCTCATAGTACCTGGTGTTATTACTCTTCTTAGGTGCTCTTCCAAACATCTTTGATCTTTCTAGTTTTAACCTCTAATTCAAATTTTTTTTCCTTGGAGAAAGGGGAAGGTCCGGAAATAGCAAAAAGAGAAAAGAATCGATGAAATGGCTTGAAGAAAACGAATAGGGAGTTGGGGACAATTTATAAGAAAGGGATATTGATATTAGGGTAAATAAAGAAGGCTCTAGAATTATCTACCCTCTCTGATTCTTTCTTTGCCTTTGCGAAGAAGGGGGAGAAAAAATAAAATAAATAATAACATATGTAATTCTAGGGCGTTTTTACCCAAAAATTACATAAATAATCAATAATTATCTGTTCTCTTCAGATATTATTAATCTAGCACCTCTTTTGACAAAACGATAATAAAACGCGTTTTAGGATATACACCTTTCAAACGTGAATGAAAAACATAAATCATGAAACGCATCTTCCTGGGATTCTGTTCGAGCTGTTGTCATGGTGAAAACGAAGAATTTGACACATGGCTTAAATTACCACATGTTCCCCTCCCCCTCCCTCATCCTATAAATACATTCTCATATAACACTCAAACCACATTAAAAAAAATTTATTCTCATCTTTATTAATTCTTGTATCAAGCTTTAAGTAAGTTTTGCTATCGTTTTTAGAAACTATAATTTTTTTATTATATTATAATCATTTAATAGTTTATTATTTAATTTACTAATTTTCTTATTAATTTTTATAATTATAAAATGGAAGGTGGGTTGCTGATTTTAGATGGGAATTATATCTCAGATCATTTTGCTGATACGATAACAATTTTAAATTGTGTTATTTTAATTATTGTGGATGTTTTATTTATTTTTTTAGTATTAGTTTATATTTTAATTTGTATATTATTTATTTAATTAGGGGAATGATTGTATATTAGATCCATTTATTCGTAACACTAAGTTAGAGATATCGAGTTGTGTCTGGCCGTATTTAGCTGAGGCTGAATTCAGTTACATAGAAAAATATGAAGGGCACTGTAACTTGAATCCAACTTTATTTCTGCATTGATTGAGAGGTGGAGACCAGAGACACCCACATTTTATCTTCTGTGTGGGGGGTGCACTATTACGCCGGAGGATGTTTCCATATATTTGGGGCTTTTGGTAGATGGAGATGTTATTTCTGGTATGGCAGATGGTAATTGGCATTTCTTATGTGATGAGTGTCTTGGAGGTATCCCTCCTAATTTCATCGGTGGTCGAATATCGTTATCATGGTTGGCTACAAATTTTAAACATTTAAGTGAAGACTGTTCCGAGGAACAGACTAAAATATTTTCTCGGACTTGAATATTACAACTCATATGAGGGATGTTGATGCCCGATAAATCTCATAACCAAGTTCATTGTATGTGGTTGCGTCACCTTGAAGATTTTCACGTTGCCGACGGACTTAGTTGGGGCTCCGCAATTTTGATATCTCTCTATAGAGAAATGTGTCAGACAACTGATTATTGAAAAAATGCTATCGGCAAATGTCTCTTTCTTCTCCAATCATGAGTGTGGTATCACATGCCTTTTTTTATGCTCAGTCGTGAATAACACGATAGTCTTTCCATTATTGTTGAGGTAATTTCAATATTGAGTTCGTATATATATGATTTTTGTAGTATATGATGAAATATTTTTGTTGAATTATATTTTGATATAACAATTTATGGCAAAATATTTTTGGACTTGAATTGAATTTATTCAAAGTTTTAAAAGATTTCAAAAATAATTCAAAGTCCATTTAAAAGATGAATTGAGCAAAAATTACAAGTAGTACTGATATTGTTTTTTGCAGTATCGATACCACATGAATGGGTATCGATACCATATATGTAGTATCGATACCTTAGGCAAATGTAGTGTCGATACCATCAAGGTAGTACCGATACTACCTTGAAGGCTTAAAACATCGAATGCAAAATGGGTACCGATACCATGCAAGGGTATCGATACCATAGTACAAAGTAGTACCGATACCCCTTAGGCAGTATCGATACTACAAGGCTCCGACGGCTAGCAACGGCTAGTTAAATTTGAAATTAACAAAGGTAGTACCGATACCCTATGAAGGAGTACCGATACTTCCTATTCTGGACAACCTTATTTTGCAGAA